TGTAAAAGTAGATAAAAATAAAATTTAGCATATCCACAGCAGCTAATCAACCCTATTCACCTAAGCAAGTTCATTCATGTGTTACTTGTGATTCACATGCAGTCAGATTAAAACTTTTTACTCTGGGAACCATTCGTTATTTAATTATAAAACAAAGAAAAAAAAACATTAAGTTTTGCTAAAAGTTAGATAATTCAATTAGTAAAATGAGAACACAGTAATAATGTTTTTCTGCATTATTACTGCATTTCATATTGTTTCTGAGTGGTTTGTATAATTTTGGGACAGTTAAGAGAATTTTGAGAAAGCAGTTGTGGCTCCTCAAGTCTATGCTATTGTTATGAGTAATGAACAAAAGTTTGAATTCTACTAATGAATAGAACATTCAGAAGAGTCTGCAAATTGATTGCACCTATGAGACAAATCTTAAATTTTTGAAAGAAATTTGAGAAAATAACATCTCAGACTCAAATCCAATTCCCGAATCTTGTATAATTAGTTCTCTAAATTTTCACGAAAGAGATTCAGCTGGTTGATAATGATCCTTTTGACTTGACTGTAATAGATAACAAAACCTAGTGTTTTCAATTTAATCCATGCTGTGGCAATCACAACAAGAACTCCAGATATAAATTCTGATTTTAAAATGTAAAAAAATATTAGCAATGTTTTTGACAGCCAGAGAATCATTCATAAAGAATCCTTGTCAGCTTGGACAATAAGGCATTTATATAAACATTTTGGATTCTTTTATTTAAAAAAATCCATCAAACTGTCTCAATTATAAAAAAGAAAAACTGGAAACTTATACAGTAATGGTCATATTTGGGAAATATAGAATTAAATTATCCTTCATATTCACTCAATTGTCTTTAATAGACTATTACTTGTTCTCCTAAATCAAATTACACTAAACAGAAGATAATTCAAGAATACAGAAATCATTAAACATAATAAAATAAAGAATAAATTTAATTATATAAAAAACAATTTTTTTTGGCAATTCTGTGAGCAAGTCCATATATAATTTCTTACGATCATATAATAATTATGAACAAGATTAAAAACAGTTCTAGCAAGATATTCATTAAACTCATTTAACAAGCTGAATACAAATGAATTTATATGCCAAATCTTGTGATTAACTTCTGAATTTATCAATAAAATTCCCAAAACTATAAATTTATTTAAATTTAACAAGTACCTTTATCTTTTTACAGCATAACCTACATATTCAGTTCATAAACGATTTTTGATTATCATTACAATGAACAATACACTTTTTAAAGAGATTAATCCTAGTATAAAAAGTAAATACAAACACTGTTTATAATAAGATAGGTACCGGGTACTTCGTTCATGATTATTTTCTTTGTTTGTATATTAACCTTCTCAAACTTCAGACAAAAACATACAATGATGAACTAAATGATTATACATATATTGAAAATCATTTGGCATTACAAAACCACATTCAAAATTCAGAAAAAAAAAGTATGTGTACTATTATGTTACTTTAGAAATAAACAAGTATTTCTTTTTAGTAGTTTCATAACTATAATTAATTTGGGAAAAATATGTGTTAAATTTAACCATTCAAAATATATTATACACACATACACTCTCACACATCTATTTTATATGCTTATACAAAAATAAAAAAATATCCAAAAATTTTTGAAAATGGTTTAAATAGAAATTAAATGTTTATCGAACAGTATCATTTTTATTGTATTCTTTTGTTACATATATATTTTATCATATAAAAATATAAATTACTAGTTGTACTGTACCTGGCCATGTGTTGCTGTGGCTCAAAATGTATCTATTATAAATGTATAACACTCCCTGTGGGAGGGAATTTCAAAAAATCCCTTCTTAGTGTACATTCTCTTGACATACCCTATTAAAATGCAATCAAAAACGCATCTAAAATAGTATAACAGAAGCCGAGTTCTTCATGGTAAACCTTAATTTTGTCCCTCTCCCTCGCAGGGGAGGGAATTTTGACATCTATACAATATACAAGTTCAGACACATGCACTGCTTATCTCACAGACCACACGATTACCTATCTCATATACGCACATGTCTTGCCCCTTGCCACTCACTGACACCAAAAATATAACACTTACCTAGATGATATCTTTTAATTTATATGAATCGTTAACGGAATAATATACAGCCTATGTCCACCCTGAAGGTCCATTCTAAATATTGGTGAAAGAATTTTTGAAATCGAATGAGTAGTTTTGGAGATTACCTCCTACATCCAAACTTACAAACTTTACCTCTTTATAATATTAGTATAGATAATAATGATATTTTACACTGTCCAAATAAGTGAATTTTGTTAGTTTTAAAAATTAATAAAGAGATCAGTTCAATTATTTTCAATCTACATGACAACACACACTAATAAAAATTGTTTTCACTTATATTTTGCTCTTTAATTTATATTTTGCTCAAAACTGAGTAAATATTTTATGAAAATTAAATTATTTGCTTTAAACCGGTGATTAGAAATATATAAATATTGACATAAGTGATTAATCTATTGCATGTATATTCAAAATAGCAAGTTAGAAAAAACTTGCAATACTTTATGATTTATTTTTCAGTTATAACATTTATAGTAATAATAATTCTAATACTTTATTATAATTACTATTCAGTATAAAATATATCAGAGTTTAAACAGTCATTCCATCAAAGTAAATGACATCAAAAAGATTTAATTTCAAGTTTTTATTCCAGTTTTATATTTGGTTTATCACCTTTTTTTCTTAACAAAAACCTTAATTTATTCTAATTAAAGTAAATTTATTTCATTTTTTCTAAACAGTTGTTTAAAGGGCAGTTGTTTGAACTCCAAAGCTTCAGCATACGTAAATACTTTAAAATATGCTTATTTTGATATGCATACCCAAAAAAGGTTTGCCACTGTTAATATTAAGTCTTTGAACTGATAACGTATTTCGACCTATAAAGTACTTAATTGAGTTATCAATCACGATTAGAAAACGGTATTTAAATTGATAATTGTGTGATTGTTCGCTGATCATTATATAAAACTATTAAAAGATTTATATAATCAGAAAAGCAAGATTACTATATTAATCATTAAAGTAAATGTTTTTCAACATCAGACAAATGAATTATTGCAGAAGACGTATGAAATAATCAATCGTTTTAATCTAATTCGTAGCCAATTTATTGGTACAAAGTTAGCTTAATTGAGACAAGAGAGGAATGCAATACAAAAAATAGAAGCGATTACCTATAAGGAAATCACGATACTTAATAATTCCCATTGTTTTCTACTTTTAATTGAATTTTGATAACTCATTCAAAATTATATAAAAGTCTGATTTGATGGGCTAACTGATAAAATATTTAAAACTTTTAAATGAAGAAATTGAAAATCTACTTGTAAATGTAACTGATTATGAATTAATTACTAAAATATCAATATCATAAGTAAGAAAAAAAACTTGCCAGTGATCTAGTGTAAAAAAAATTATATTAAAATTTGTCATGATATGCATACACATTTTAAACTGAAACACATGCAACTGTCAGATGACTTGTACATTAACTGATGTCCTAAATTTTGGCAAATGCACAGATCACGAGTGATCCGAACTAAAATATATTTGCATTGTAAGAAATTACTTCAAACAAAAAAATTTTTCTATAATACGAGGACTATTCAATACTGTATTCATTACAATATAAAATATTAAGAACAATGTACAAAATATAACAAATTAATTCTTCGACTTCACATTATATCTCCTTTATCTCTTTGTTAATTTCAATGTAAAAAAGTACTTATATTACTGATCTCTGCTAATTAAAATAACTTATAACTTGCAATAATAATAATAATTAATGTATCTGGTATTAAATTTAAACAANCTTCCAATCACCATAACAGTGTATTTCTATTAATAGGACTTATCACACTGGTGTATAAGATTACAGCAACACAGTCACACAGATTAAAATCAGGTAATTGTAAATAAAACAATTTTAATTTGTGTGACTGTGTTGCTGTAATCTTATACACCAGTGTGATAAGTCCTATTAATAGAAATACACTGTTATGGTGATTGGAAGAATAATTTGTTTAAATTAAGGACATTGATGCATATTAATTAATATAATCATTATTTTTCAAAATAAATGATTCGAGTTATTTATTTATTACCTTGCTTAAAAGATCTTATTTACCGACTTAATTAATGTGTTTTTGCTGTAAACGAAAGTATTCTAGTACACGAACAATTACCTGAACCATTTCGTTACCTGAAGTAAGTCCCATCGAAATTAATTTGAATTTCTCTCGATTGCATACGTTTGAAACGGCCTCATCACGCCACCATATTAGATTATCAGCATAATCCATGGCGGCTCAGCGCAGAAAAGTGAAAATTCCGTCTCTATGTAACATATACTGTAGGTTCGAAAACACTTTTATCCGCTTCTGACTTGGTTAAAGTGTATTTCATACGAATAAAGTTCAAAATTAATAATTTGTTATCAGTTTTAATTAATATATAAAAAGCATTATTATTGTTACGGGATAAGCCTATTCAAAGGTCTAAGCTAAAGGAAGGAAGAGAATAAGGGAATGAAAAAAATTATTATTTAATCTAAATAAACAATTACGCCATAAAAAATATCAATAAAACCTTTTTAAAATCCATCAAATTATAACTTTAAAGGACAGAAAATGGATCTTATAACGTTAAAGAAAGCTACATTAAATAATGAAAGTCTCCACGCCCTGTATATATATACATATATAATCCTTTCCCCTACATCAGATAATCCACATTATAACAACCTAAACATGGACTTCATTAATAATAAACTGAAGATATTCCATATATTTCTCACAAGAAGTCCAGAAAAATGTGTTAAATGCTGGAAGACATTGGAAACTCATAAGCCTAAATGTAGGCTTAGTTGATGCAAGTCGTAAAAGATATTACCTGATGTAAGTTTAGGAGAAACATCTCCGAACGGTGATGGATGGATTTCGTGTAATCTTGTCGGCGGAGTGGCCGGCGATAATGTCATAGGGACACATCTTCGCCTTTTAGCTGGTTTGCCATTAATTGTGTTCAATGGATCCCACTCGCAGGACCTCTTCAACGTAGCGCAGGCCATACCGAAAATATCGTTATTTCTCTATAAATATCACGCACTGTCAATTTCCGATCGTTTGCGTACGAAATTCATACACTTAGAAGTCCGAATAGTCACTAATTTTGAAATTTTTTAACAATGGAACATTAGACTACAGACTCCGTAATATCCGACCTAAGAAAATGGCCGATGTTTAAAAGTGAGCTTGGTTGTTCGATTGTAACAGGTACGCACTCGAAAATTCCGGATGATTATTTTACGACGTTTTTCTTTGATTATTTTATATTAAAATAACTTAACGTTTTTTTTATTATTTTATAAAATATTTTCATTACGTATTAAATTTATTTACGGGAATTTTTAAAATTCGAATTTTTAGTCCGCCATGTTTTGTTTTCGCTTTTTCCTATTTCTTGTTTGAAAATTTTTTTGTTATTTTTTTTGCCAGTAGAAAATATTTTGAAATTTAAAATTTTAATCTAATTATTTTCGTTATTATACTACTGGCAGATTAATTAACTTTTTATTGTTGTTGAATTCGTGTGAAAAAATGCCATGCTTTTCACACGAATCTACTCAATTAGTATTTCGTATTTTTTTTTTTAATATTTTACGTCCTAGAGCGGGGGTGAAGAAAATCGCCAAATTTATAATGCTAAATTTTTTATGTGCCATCTAAAATTTCTAGGAACATATTATTTAGTTTAGCGGCTAGACGTTGCCACGGGTAAGCTAGACTTGTCGACTTTTTCGCTTAAATTGGCAACCCTGTTTGTAAGTCAGTAACTTACATCGCAGAGATAGATGTCTTGGAAATAAGTAGGAAGTTTGTTTTATTTTCTTATTACTTATTATTACTAAAATAGTTGATAATTTTGTTTCTCTATTGCAGTTTTATTAGAAGCCGGATAGCCGAGCGGTCAAGGTGACAGCCTACCGCTCTGGGAGACCCAGATTCGAATCTGGACGATAACTCTCCAGGAATTTTTCGGAGGTGGTCCGTCCGGATATGTCGAGCTCCGTCCCTCACCACCTGGCCGCCACATTGTGGGCCTGACCGAATCCATAGGCTTGCTAAAAGAGGCCCTCTTAGTGCGGAAAGAGTTAAAAAAATATATTGCAGTTTTATTTAGTATCGCTGTACTCGATAAAATTCTACTCAGTTACGTTAAAATATACAATTCAGCAAGATGTTGGATATTTCTGGTTTTTAGGTGAGTTATGGATTGCGTGCCGGAAAAACTCGTTGGCGTTCTACATTTGGTACTCGTGCCAAGAATTTCCACCCGTCTAGGACACTACGAGGACCTGTTTTTGATTATCTTCGTAGATTCGATCAAGCCTGCAATAAAATAACTTGTAGTAAAGGGCAAAACTATACATATCCAGATCATACAGTTTTTGAAATTATGAACTAGAACTCGAATTCTGATTCCTCGGATAGTAAATTGATGTATTTGCCGCCTGATCAGGCGGCTTTACAACTACATACAATATACAACTTACAACTACATACTTACTACTTACTACTACATACAATTTACTACAAAGGTCCGATCGTCAAATAATTTGTCATGGACAATATGAATCAAGATGTTTTTAATTAAATTAACAGGTATATTAAATATTAAATAAAAATTGTTTTCTGTAAAACTCTGTATTGTCTGTTAAGCCAGTATAATAAGTCCTGATAATAGTGAATGCTTGTTTATAGACGAAAATTTATAATTTATCAAGATGTTTTTCTTCATCCCTCGTCCATGTCGGTTGATCTCAATGAAGACTAGATCCGTTCATAATGGGTAAAATTGTAGACAGCTTTGCAGAATTGATCACTGATGTCTCATTTCGTGGCTGGTGTCGATCGTAGTAGCTGGTTTGACCGTAAATTCCAGATCTAAACCACGAATTAAATCTAAATATTACTTATGTATAAACCATGAGGTCATTCGGAAAATAGAGAAATTAATCCGCTCTTAGAGTACCACGAAACGCAGAACATTTGAAACCTTTAGAAGACAAGGCCAAATTTCAAGTATTTTATAATTTGCTGTGATATATTAAAATAAATGTATTGTATTAGCTTCAAAACTACTTCCTTTTTATAGAGATGAAATTAAAAAATTACAAAAATGTAAATTTCTTATTCGCATCAATGTTATTTAGTTTGCCACGCGTCCAGAGTTTTGTTCAAGAGGGTCTAAAATTCAGTGGCGTAAAAGTCAGCCGCCCGGGGCGGAGGAAAATTTCGCCCCCCTTATTTAGGTATCTCAATGTAAAAGACTAAAATTCAGTTTCGTCACAGAATAAGTAATGAAAAAATCCGTGCTAGTGTTGCTACCTAATCGCTGACCCGGACGGCAGGTGAGGTAAGTTCGAACAGAAGTCCCTGACGGAATGTCATTTTGCAATGCGAAGAATAATGTGCAGTGCATGCTGGTTATAAATCAGTTATATACGAATAAATCGTAGAAGCAAAAAAGAAAAAAAAAAAGGTCGACAGGTTGCACAAGATATCCCCAGACGGCGAGGCGATTCCCGGACTGACCGGATGGTAACACTATTCCGTGCTCATTTCAATCGGTCCGAATCGTAGGTGGACGAAGATATGAAATAAAATGGTTCAAATTCTTACAAGATATTATTATTTATTGTGAAATTTTGCCGCCCCCTAAAACTTAATTTTTCCGCCCCCTAAAAAGTGCCGCCCGGGGCGGGCCGCCCCTGCCGCCCCCACTACGCTACGCTACTGCTAAAGTTATCATCAATAAGATACTTAAATGCAGCGGCGGCCTTATCCATTGCGAGGCTCTGGGCGGCAGATCTTTGCGAGGCCCTGGGCGGCAGATCCTTGCGAGGCCCTTGTCCTTTGTGCAAAGTATGTGAATTGAAATAGTAGGCACTTATTAATATTAATATATACTGTACTATAAATTAAATTTATTTTATTGTTATAACTAATAGCCAAGGATAAAATAAAAAGTTTTAAATATCAACTTTTTTCTACTTGGTTGTTGCGCGAGGCCCCTCCAAGAGCGAGGCCCCGGGCGATTGCCCTGCTCGCCACCCCCTAAGGCCGCCACTGCTTAAATGCATTATTATGTACTGTACTTTCAATATTCGACCAATGTCATTTGCTATGTAGTGTAGATATGCATTTACTTTTACACTACAAAAGTGCACGGAGTATTTAGTAAACACCAAATGCTATAGTCGTATCTACACAAGAAGAATGGCAAGATTGGGGAAAATATCACAAATTTTAACGTTTGGGCATTCTGAGAGCACTAAGAAGACCTTCATTCCATATTCATCGTATGTTTTGACCAGACCCATGATATCAATGGGAATAAACCATTGATATAACGCTAATGAAATGTAATGTACTGTTTATTCATTACGTATTAAGGTCAATAAAATAAAAGACAATAAATTTAAAAATATATTCAATTGATTTCATTGCTTTCAATAATGCATCTTGAACTTCTTTTTGGTTGGCATTATCAACATAATATTTTAACACCACCATCAATTTGCTGTTTAGAAAATGATAATATTTAATAAAGAGAGAAAAAATAATTTAATACTCCATTACACATTTGAGCNGGAAAAATAAAAATCAAGTTTAAGTCATTTTATTCGACTTTACGTCTGTCCGCCACAAATATTGAAGTCGTAATATCACTAGATAAACGTTTAAAGCACATAAAATCATATTAAAATATATACAAGTATGTACTGTATTTACAGTACACGCATTCGTAAATTTAGATTACTTTTTTTGTACTATATTAAAAACTAAAATTTATTTGTTTGTAAGCTTAAAATAGATTTTTATTAACCATATATTATTTAAAATGCTTTCCTAGTGATAAGTAGATTCGGAGACAGGTAAATTCTACTTACGTCGTTTTTCGACTTACGTCGTTTTCCTGGAACCAATTACCGACGTAAGGCGAGGTATACCTGTAATGAAATAATGTTTTACTAATGAACCATTGGAGATGACATAATGGCCGAGTGGTTAATTTTGTTTTATTAAGTTATGGCAACGCAACACTTGGGCGATCTGCCTAAGGGGAATGCCTTCCTGGAGGTCTTTTTAAGGGTAACTCGCCCCTATTCAGGCATTACGGACGTGGAGAAAACCCGGAAACTCCACGTGGCCAGCCCGTCCTGACGAGGCGCAAACCCACAACCGAACTCAGTGTTTAGAGAATGGAACCGCTTGGCCACTGGTAGACCCCCCGAGCGGTTAAGCTAGCAACCTAGCAACCTACCGCTTTGGAGGACCCGGGATCGATTTCGATCCCGAATCCTCCAACAATAAAATAATTTTTCAGAGACCGGATCTGTCTGAGACTGGAGTCTATCCGAATATATTGGAACCATCCGAATGCCCCATTGTGGGTTTAGTTAAATCCATAATAGGCTTCCTCCCAAAAATATCCTTTCAGTGCCATAGGGTAGAGTTTAAAAAATGCCCGGCTCTTTCAAGTTGGATGACGCCTCAATAGCCTCGGACATTCGATCGTTAACCTAGTACTTTTACATGTTATACATGTATTCAGATGAAATGTTTTAACAGTCCCTTAAATTCCTGACATTTTGAATACAGAAATCAGTGAGATTTGCATATATACGTATTATGTTGAAACTATGGCAGCAATATTGATTCTGGCAGATAAACGGAGGGCACGTTATTGCTTTGTACACTATTTATGTATTTCTGACTGGAAAAAAGTTGATGATAGCCGTTAGGAGAAGTCAAATAAAGTACAGAATTTCTATCAAAATGTCAAAAACATGTAATACTAACTGATAGATGACGCTAGCGCGAGTCCACTATATTTTATTTTCTCAATTGTTTAAATGCTATGTAGATTGTTTATTGTAGGTTGTTTATTGGGCTAAAAGTTTTAAATTTCAGACCTATAGATTCCCACTGTCGCCCATTTGTCCACCTTCGAGAACGGAGTTATTTACATGAAAATCGAGACCAGATACGGAAGCTTATTTTTAAAATAAAATATGTTAATTGTTTATTGTCTTTTATTGTTACTTTGTGATTTTTGTTTGTATGCGGCAAGGGTTTTTTAAAACTCTTTCTGCCCACTGGGCACTAAGAGAGTCACTTTTTTCAAAAACATTATGTATTCGCCCAGGCCCACAATGGGAGGCCGGCTAGTGAGGGACGGGGCCCGACATATCCGGACGGATCACCACCCGAAA